CTGTCAGACCTACATGACCCCACCTGGATGGCATTCCCCTACATATGGAATTGGGGTGGGGGGATGGGAGGGGATGGTGGTTAGGGTGCATGTGAGAGGGCAGAGAGGGTAAAAGGGAGGGAGAAAGGGAGGGAGGGAGAGGGAACTGGGATCGACATGTAAAATAATAAATTAAATAAAAAAAAATGCTTTGACTCCAAAATTTAAGTTCAAGGACAAGTTACTGGGGAAAAGGATTTCTATTTTTGTTTCCACAGAAAATGAAAAGCTGTGGATTCCTTCCAGACTAATGTGGTTTGATCAAGCCAGACCGCCTGAAACAGAGTACCAGGTGATCCTACATTCAAAACAGCTGGATAAAGCAGCCTTACAGACTACAGCCAGGATTTCTGCATCTTCTTAGAATCCCCCATGACAGCGCCCCTTACCAGCAGGAAATAGTTTGGAAAGAACAACGCCCAAATTCCCAAATATTGTCTATAAATGTTTGTTTTCATTTAAATGGACTTTGTTATATAAAATAAATAAATAAATAAATAAATAAATAAATAAATAAAAATGTGTTATGTGACACACAGAACCTAACCTAATGCATCAAGTAGTTAAAGTACTAGTGATTCTCCAGAAAGAACTCAGGACCAAATTAGAAGGAAGAAAAACAAAACAAAACATCCTGTTTAACTTCAATTACCTTTTGAAAGTCAGGATTTCCAAACACAGTCATGTCAGTGGTTAGAGTTTAATGTATAAAGTTAGGAAGATAAGCAAACCCACACAAAAGATAAAATGAAAACATTTCCTGGACTCGGGTGTAGCTCCACTGTGGACACTGGTGTATGTAAGAAAAAAGATTGGTCCATTTCCAAAAGAGTTGTGAGTCAGTCTAGGTTTAAACAACAATAAGCAGAAACACCAGGACCCTGCTAGCATCCACTAATCTAACTATCTCTCAACAAAGTAAAAGCTCAGAGGAAAAAAGATAAATTATTGGGGCTGGAGAGATGACTATGTGGTTTACAGCAGGATGCTCTTCAGAGAATCCAGGTTTCATTCCCAGCATCCACATGGTGGCTTATAACCATGTCTAACACCAGGGGACCTGACACCCTTCTCTTACCTCCACAGGCCCTCATACAGGTGGTGAACACACATATGGGCAAAATGTTTGTACACACACAGTTAAATATATTTACATTTTAAAAAAATTACCTAGGTCCAAGCTTGTCTGCAGACATGACAAAGCCTTATAATAAACAGGATAGGGGCTGAAGAGATGGCTCAGTGATTGTGGGTGATTGCTGTTCTTGCAGAGGACCCCAGGTTCGTGGGTGGCATACAACTCCCTATAACTCAGTTCCAATGGAAACAGTGACCTCTTCTGGCCTCCATGGGCACCTGCACACATATGGCAATAGCTCACACACATACCAAAAACAGATCTTTAAAACAATATTAAATAAATAAACAACAGGATGCATAGCATAAAGGTGAACCTATGCATGCATTCTTTGTTAAGAAATGAACAAATAACCCAGGCATGGTGGTGCATCCCTTTGATCCCAGTACTTGGGAGGCAGAGGCAGGTAGATCTCTGTGAGTTTGATGACAGCCTAGTCTGTAGAGCTAGTTCCAGGACAGCCAGAGCTGTTACACAGAGAAACCCTGTCTCAGAAAAACAAAAAGTGAAGAGACAGACAGACAGACCATCATGAACTCAATCTTACCAAGGATATACTAGTCTTTATTTTGAAAGGGAGGGGCACAGATTGGCTCAGTAGGTAAAGGCACTTGGCACCAAAAATGATCTAAGTTCAAACCGGTCCCATATGGTGGAGAGAGAGAAATAATTCCCAAAAATGGTTCTCTGGCCTCCATATAAGCATCATGATACATTTGTGCCCCCGCACACGCACATGCATGCACACACACACACACACACACACACACACACACACACACACACTAATACATGGGGGAAAATTGTATCTAAGTATGGTAGCTCACACCTGAAATGCCAACACTTGGGAGGCAGAGGAAGGTAGATCTCCAAAGGACAGAGACAGCCTAGGCTACAATATTAAGTTTGGGACATCTTGGCTATAGAATGAGACCCTGTATCTAAAAACAAAACAAAACAAAGGGACTGAAGAGATGGCTCAGAGGTCAAAGCACTTGCTGCTCTTGCAGAGGACCTGGAACAGATTCCCAGTACCCACGTGGTGGCTCACAGCCATGTGTAACATCAGTGCTAGGGAATCCAATGCTGGCTTCTAAACTCCATGGGCATCATGTGTACACATGATGCACATAACATACATCCAGGCAAAGCACCCATACACATAAAAAAAATAAAATGATCTTTGAAAATTTAGTATTTCATATTGCTGAGGGACGGCATATTCCAATAATCTCAGCACTCGGGTGTAGGTGTTTTCTGTCCCACCAGCCCACTCCCAAATAACCACTCAGAGACTTACTATAAATGCTCAGCTACTAGCTTAATCTTGTTACTAACTAGCTCTTACAACTTAAATTGAGCCCTATCTCTTTTCTACACTCTGCCATGTGGTGGTACCTTCTCTCAGCATGGTAAGGTGAGCCCACTCATCTTGCTTCTCTCTGAGTCTCCTGGAGACCCCTCCCTTCTTCCTCTTTGCACTCTTGTTTTTGGCTGCAAGTCCCACAATTTCTCAAAAAGACAAAAGCAACAACAATTAGTTGTTTCCTACGGGAAGAAAACTGGCAGGTTTTTAGGGTTTGTTGGTATTGTTTTGCTGTTGCTTTTGGCTCATCTAGCATGTACAAATCTGTGGGATGACCCCCAACACCACATTACAAACCAGGAAAGGTGGTGTACACTTGGAATGTTGTTCCATAAAATTATTTTTTGTTGCTTCTTCATAACTGTGATTTTGCTAGTGTTATGAATCGTAATGTAAATATGTGTTTACTGATGGTCTTGGGCAATCCCTGTGTAAGAGTCATTCAATCCCTCCCCCCCAAGTCCAAAAAAAATGCTGCTCTAACACTTCCTACTAATCTACCCAATCCTGTTCTTGCTCCGCACTAAGGCCTTCTCCACTCAGAGCAAGTGGTTATTTGCGTTTTACTTATTTGTTTGAGACCTAGTCCAGGCTGGCCTCAAACTCACCACGAAGCTTGAGGATGTCCTTGAACTCCTGATCCTCCTGCCTCTAGTTCCGGAGTGTTGTCGATTAGAGAAGTGAGCCAGACAACTAAGTTGTTATAGCCTGTTTCTAAGCCAGTGGCTTCCATGCTGCAATGATTCCCTCATTCCTTGCCACTTTCCCATGTCCCTTTGCAGTCCAGCCTCATGAGTCTTCCTTATTTATTTTTGAGCCTAGGTCTCATGTTGCCCTGGGCTGGCTTCGAACTTGCGATGTAGCTGAGGATGACCTTAAACTTCTGGCCCTCCTGTCTTTACTTCCCAAGTACTGTGGTCACAGGTGTGTGTCACTACACTCTGTTTTATGTCTTGCTGGATACTGAATCAGGTACTTTGTGCCTGCTGGGCAAGCACTGTATTAAGTTACTTCCCAAGGCCCCATGGGTCTTCTTGATGCTTAAATGGGTCAAGCTGTTATAGCTTAAGAATTACATCTACTGTCTGCTGCCACGAACGCCTTTCTCTTGGATCCTCACTCAGTTCTTTGGTCAAGCACCTTCCCACAAGCTGGATGTGGAGGCTCACCCCTGTCATCAAAACAACCAGGAGGATGAGACAAAAGGCCTGAGAATTTTAAGGGCAGCTAGGGTTGCATAGTGAATTCTAGGTGAGCCAGGGCTACACAGCAAGGTGCTCTCAAAACAAACAAGCTATGCTTGGCAGTACTCATCTGCACTTTGGAGGTAGAGGTAAGAGGTTCAGGTCATCCTCAGCTATACAGCAAGTTCAAGGCCAGCCTGGGTTACAAAAGACCCTAATCTAAAACAAAACAAAAACCAGGGGCCACAGAGATGGCTCGGCTGCTAAAGGTGCTTGCTGTAAAGCCTGGTGACCCGAGTTTGACCCTCAGAACCTACATGGTTGAAGGAGAGCTCTAACTCCTGCAACTTGTCCTGACATCCATATATAAGCCATGGCTTAACTTTGTGCACATATACCAAATAAAGAAGCAACGTCGTTCCGAGGCTTTTCCTAACCTCTCAATATCAAGCAGCCTCTCCCCAGCCCTGCTCGCTAGCCTATCCTTATCCTGCATGTATACTGCAAGTCACAATCTATAATTATTCGGTTGCTACTACTATTATGGTTACTCATCTGTCTCCTGAATGGAATGTGACTTCTGTCTGAGGCAGGGAACATCATGTGCTCACTGTAGTAGTATCACTTGACCTATATCAGTGCTTGAGACATTATAGGTGTTAAATAATTAATCCACTGGGTGAATTCAATGAATAAATGAATGAACTAAAGTCAGGTGGGAATGTACATGCCTCTAATTCTGTAATTCCAGTATTTGGGAGGTGGAGGCAGAAGAATCAGGAGTTCGAGGCCAGCCTCAGCCAGACTGGAATACATGAGACTGTCTTAAATAAATAAATAAATAAATAAATAAATAAATAAAGTAGTCAGGTGACTAAAGAGTCATCTCATATCTGTGTCTGGCACCTTCACACCAGTGTCCATCCTGGGAGAAACAAGTCATTGGCCACAATATTCCTCTCTTGCAGCTTCTGATTACAATCCCAACGATTATTGCTTTCACTATTTTGCATTTACATCAGGACAGTATGTTTTTTTTTTTTTAAGATCTCAAAAAGAATATTCATCAAGATGGCTCAGCCGGTAAAGGTGCCTGTAGACAAGCCTGCAGACCTGAACTTAATCCTGGGTTCGCACAGGGTGGAGAGAACCAACTCCTTCAAATTGCCTTCAGTCCTCCACGGACACACACACATAACACACACCAAACACCCCAAACAAATATTTTAATTTAAAAACATTTTTTTTCTGGAAAAAAATTTCTTTCTGGATTTTACTGAGGCTCACAAAGGAGAGCTGAGCCAGTCCTTCGTCCTACTTAGGCTGCAGACAGTGGCTGATGTCAGTCATTCCATCCTGTTTGGAAGTTGCCTCCTGGCAAGGCTGAACGTGACAAACCTTTCTTCCTCTGACTTTGACCTCAGTCAGGGTCTCTTTGACTCCAGTTCCTCACTGAAGGTGCTTTCCTGGTGGGAGTCCATTAAGCGGCCTCCTTGTCTTCACATATCAAATCGTCCCTAGTCTTCACTATTTCCCTGACCACACGAAAGGGGGCTCCGTGACCAGGCACCACCACATCAGCCACAGCCAGGATCCTCTCCCGGCTCCGCTGCTGAGCAATTGGGTCTTCGCTCAGGGCCTGCCAGGAGTCCTCGTCCCCAAGGCGCTCGAACACATCGCCAGCCACCACCACGGTGCCCAGGCCGGTGCCCTCCACTACGACGCTCACGTCCCGCTGTCCTCCGTGGCCCGGCGTGGCCCACACCTGCAGCCCGGAGCTCAGTATCAAGGGCTGCATTTCACACAGGCCATGAGGCAGATAGAGGCCCCCGGGAAGGCAGAAGTCGTGGGACACTAACAGAGCCGCCCGGGGAAACAACCCTAGGTTCCCGATATGATCGGAGTGCCCGTGGGTCCCCACCACCAGAGTCACGTCTCCGGGGGACACGCCCTGCCCAGCCAAGGCTTCCAGCAGCGCCTCCCGAGCCCAGGGCCCTCCGGTGTCCACGAGGACGGGGCCACGCACCGCCTCCTCCAGGGCAGTCTTAGCGCCGCCGTCTGCGGACGGGGCCACTCGGCGGCTGGAATCCGAGGCCCATGCCCGGGGCAGGACGAGGGTCACAGTGCCATCAGCCCGTACCGCGTCGCCAGCCCCCTGCGGCTCCGCGTAGCCGCGCAGCAGAACCATCACCGAGTAGGAGTCGCTGGATGCCAGTAGAGGGTTCTCACCGAGCAGCGGCTCGGTCCGCACTGGACAGCTCATGGCAGGGGTTAGGAACTATATCCAGATACGGACGACCGCCCAATACCTCCGAATTCCTACCGCAAGTCCCGCCAGACCCAGCTCTTAAAGTGGTATCGCCCTCCTCCCCCTCCTCTCTAAGATGGTATCGCCCAGCCAACCCTTCCGCGCTACCTCGCCTCCCCAGAGGTTTTGGCCTCGGTTCCTTTAGGCTTGTAGACCGTAGGTCTTCACCCCTCAACATGCTAAGGAGATCTTTTCCCTCTTCATTTTAGCTCTAGCCGTTGACTACTTTGAAACTAAACTATTGCTGTTCTTAAGTCTTAATTTTACTCAGAGGAGGGAAAAAGAAAAAAAAAAAAAAAAGGTCGAGAAAACGGGAGGAATTTTGCTCTTTACGTGCTCCCGTACAAACGACGGCGGCTGAAGCCTGAGCCATAATTACTTAACTCTGATCTCTGTGCAGTTTACACTATGTGCTGCACAAACTTGGAGTTTTGTTTTGCTCTTTCTGTTTAGAGATACTGGGTGTCATGTAGCCCTGATTGGTCCCGCACTTGTTGTGTAGCTGAGGAACACCTTAAACTCTTGATCCTTTTCGCCTCCACCTCCCAACCCCTGCCAGTATCCTTGGGAGGCAATATTATAAACACCATTAGCTGCTGGTAGAAGGCAGGCTGAAGGTTCCACTGTTTGGGTGCCGCCTCATCGATAATGTGTGTATGTTTGAAATGGGGCTCAGTCGATTCATAGAAAAGGTTTAATAGCGATATAGAAAATATGGCACCTGTGAAGTATGAAACAGGCCACATGTCTACCCCACCTAACCCATCAGCATTGCTTCTGGTGTTCTGTTGTTACATTTGACAGCCTGCAGACTCATGTTTGCAGGCTGTGTATATAAGTTGGTGAGCACCCCCTTTTTGGCATCTTATTTTGAGACAGGTTCTCGTGTAGCCCTGGTTGGTCTTAAACTGCCATGTAGCTGGATGATGGCTTTGAACTTCTGATAGGTGTTTGCCACCACATCAGGTTTTATGTGGTCCAATTCACATCATTGACCGTACTAGACAGACATTCTATCAACTGAGCTACATCTGTAGCCCTCCTCTGACCTCTTGAAAAGGTTTAAAACAGACCCTTTTAAAAGCAAAGTGACTTTTCCACAGCTCATACCATCACTGACCAATCGGTGCAGGTGAGGACCAGTAAAATAGAGAAAAGTTCAACACCCTGGCCACACACACTTGGTCAACTAAGTGGCTTGTGGCTCATCTCTGAAGGCAAAACTTGCCCCTGTTTCTCTCCACTTTTCCCTCCTCTCATGTTGCCATTCTGGGTCCCCAGGGTCATGCCTGAGGTCATACAAATAGGACAGTTATAAGCCTTGGGATGGGAAAGGGAGAGAGTTTAGAAAACTCCCCATGACCCCTCATGGGGGTTCAAAGATCCTCTGGGTCATGCTTGGGATTGCCTGAAGTCTTGGTTATCTCCTCTTCCTCCTCCTCATCCTCCTCTTCTGCCTCCTCATGTCCATCACTGATCTTCTCCTTTCCAGTCCAGGTTTCCTGTAGACAAGCTAGGCAGAACAAGTGAAAACAATTTCAATATTAATGCTGGGCGGGAGGGGGAGGTGAGCTGGGAGAGGAGAGGCCCATCCTTTTTACTTACCAGTTTCAGAGGCTGGAAGCACGTGACCTTCACAGAGAAAGTGCTGTAGGGACTGCTCCTGGTGGTGGAAGTACCAGTCTCCCACAACATCTTCAAACTCCTCCAGCATTGTCTCACACTGAGGAAGAAGAGCAGGAAGAGGATCCGCTTAGACGGAGACCTCTGCTTTCCACTCCCTACCTTCCTTCTCCATTAACTGCCTTTCCAGAGGCAGGCAGCCAGGTCACACCTGGGTTACTGGATGTGCAATTCTCTTCATTCAACAGTTACCGGTGTTTACTACTACCTAGTACCTAGTACAGCCACTCTTCTAGGTGGCAAATGCCTGTAATCCCAGTTGGGAAGCAGAGGCAAAAGGGTCGTATATTCTCAACTACATAGTGAGTTTCAGGCCAGCCTGGATTATGTGTAATCCTGTCTCAAAAACAAAAGTTATGTCTCAAAATCTAGCCTGTAAAGTGACATGAGAATAAAACAAGGCAGTAGTATGAGGCCCAGAACACAGGACATAGTAGATACCCAGTAAGCAGTGGTAGATATTATTAGCCTCGCAATATTACTTCTTGATAGGCTTTGGGCCTGCCTTAAGAAATAGCACAGTCCCTGCTCAGAGGCAGCCATCCCCTAGAAGGACTTCTAGGATTTAGGTCTTGTCACCTCCCTGGGCAGAGCGGCAATCCCATCCTACCTGCTTCTTGAGGAACGTGACCTCCACACTGGGCTCATCCCACAGCTCCAAAGGGATGCCCAGATCCACTTTCACCCCCTTCTGTACTAGGCCTTTCAGGGTTGCCATAGTCTGACTCTGGCCCTGGGGGATGGAAAATTTGGTGTTAGTCCAACCCACCACCTCACCTCTTCTTTTCCCTTTTACCCCATCAGTTTTTATCAACTGCTGGAGACGCTGTGGTGTGTTCTACGAGGGAGTCTGGCTAGAATAGGGGGCAACTGGCAAATATTCCCTGAGGATCTTAGATGATACAGGTTTGTTTCTGAGAAACAAGGTCCTGGACTGGGGAAAGAGAACTCAATCGGGAAAATGCTCGAGGACCTTGGTCAATCTCCCAGAATCCATGGCATGGTGGCATTGCATGAACTTATAATTGCAGCACTGGGGAACAACAGACAGGTAGATTCTTGGGGTTCTCTGGCTAGCCAGCCTAGCTTGCTTGAAAAATCAGTAAGCCAGTGAGACCCTGTCTCAAAAACCAAGGTAGGAGCAGGGTGTGGTAATATGTGCCTTTAATCGCAGCACTCGGGAAGCAGAGGAGGCAGGTGGATCTCTGAGTTCCAGACCAGTCTGGCCTACAGAGTGAGTTCCAGGGCAGTCAGGGCTGTTACACAGAGAACCCTGTCTTGAAAAACCAACAGCAAAAACAAACAAACAAAAAACAAGGTGGGTATAGCAAGGTATCTCAGTGGACAAAGGTGCTTGCCATCAAGTCTAATGACCTGAGTTCAATCCTTAGGACCCACATGGTGGAGAGAACCAGCTGCTCTGACCTCAGGAGTGTGCTGTGACACATGCTCACATGAAATAATTATGGAAAAACAAAACAAGATGGACAGCTCCTGGGGAAAAACACCCAGAGTTGTTCTGCTTCTCTACATGCAGACATGCACATACATGAATATACAAGGGTACACACAAAGCTTTTGGGAATAAAAGGAAAACCAGCAGTGCCCTTATGAGGAAACACCTTACCTTGGCATATCTCAGTGAGCCCTTGCGCTCAGCGTGAACACTGTAATCCAGGATCCGCTCACATAAATTCTCCAACGCCTCTTCCAACCTTGTCTCACTGTGGGAAGAAGGGAATAAGACTCCTTGATGTTTGTGGAACGGGGCAGCTCCTCTGGGGTTGGTTAGAAGGTGGATAAACACAGACTCACGAAAGGCTGTAAGGCACATGTCTCTTCCTCTTGCCTGTGTCTAGCACCTGGCCCAGCTCCAGCACTTCTCGAGATCGGCCTGTGCGACTCAGCTCTTCCTGTAGCTCCATGCTCAGCAGCTTACACACTGGTAGTAAGGAGACACCCAAGGGGACAAAGAAGACAAGTGATCACACCAGCATCACTGTGTCCATGATCCACGACAGAAGAGCATACTCTGGAGCCAGAATGGCTGCAAGAGGGTACTGACTCAATCTCAGGAGCTGTGAGATACTTGCTGTGTCCCAACTTCTTCACCCTAAAACGTGGACAAGACTGTCCCATACAGAGGTGTGATGAAGATTTAAGTCCATCAACATATGTAAACCCCCTAGAGTCATGTCTGGCATACAGTGAGCACTGTGTAAGTACTTTGGTGTCACTCTGACATTACTCACTGAGCTACTTTTACATGTACACTTTTATATGTATAGACAGCATAAAACCCATCATGTGCCACAAAACACAGTCAGCTAGACACATAAACAATGATACAGTAGCAGTGCTCCAAGGCTGCAATCAAGAAATCTGTTTCCAGGACTAGTAAAATGGCTCAGCAGGTAAAGGAACCCACTGCCAAACCTGGTGAACCCACATGGTGGGAGGAGAGAAATGACTCTTTCATGTTATCCTCTGACCTCCACACTCTACACGATGACATGTTTACTAAACTACATACATACACAAAACAATTTTTTTTAAAAATCAAAGAAAGCTGGGCAGTTGTGGTGTACCCCTTTAGTCCCAGGACTTGGGAGGCAGAGGCAGGCGGATCTTTGTAATTTTGAGGCCAGCCTGGTCTACAAAAGCTACACAGAGAAACCCTGTCTTGGAAAAAAAAAAGAGAGAGAGAGAGACTTCATCTCACAGTAAATGCAAAATTCATTCAAAGGTCACTACTGTAATTTTAATAAGGATGACCATATCTTTTCCACCGTTGTCTTTCCCAGCACCTGATCTGGCACTCGGTGGTGGGCTGGGTTCTCAAAAGAGTCTCCTATAGAAGGAACAAACTAAACAGGGATAAATAACAAGAGTGCTTACACTGTGCTACAACCTCAGGTACACAGGCACGCCCATTTCCTCCAGGGGCTTATGGCACAGCAAGTGACAGCAAGGAAGAAGTCCAAAGGAGACATTTAAACTCCAGAGGGATGGAGAGGAGCTTATCAAACGCAGGAGAGCGGGGTGATGGAGCATGAATCTAATCTCAGCACTGGAGAAGTAGAAGCAGGTGAACCTCTGAGAGTTCAAAGCCAGCCTGGTCTATAGGGTGAGTTCCAGGACAGCCAGGGCTACACAGAGAGACCCTGTCTCAAAAAAAAAAAAAAAAAAAAAAAAAAACAAAAAACAAAAAACAAAAAAAACAAAAAAACAAACAAACAAAAACCTTTAAACAAACAAGAAAGTGCAGAAAATTGGGTGGGGGGAGGCAGCCAAAGGAGAAGGCACACTCATTGACTGTGAGAAGTTGGGTGTGTCTGAAGCATAGTCACTTTTAGGATAAGAACGAAGTATGAAAGTGTAAGGATAGTTGACATTTATAAATACAAGACATGTATAGACACCCCTGCCCCCATCCCCAAGGTTGGCTTAGGGTCTGGGAAACAGTTCAGAAACTGAAGTGCTTGCAAGCTTGAAGATCTGAGTTCAGGTCCTCAGAATCTATGGGAAAAGTTGGGTGATGTGGCACATATAATCCCAGTGTTTTGAGACGACAGGTGGCTTATGTGCCTAACTTCCAGGGGAATGAGGTAAACATTTCTTCTGAAGGAATGACACCTGAGGCTGTCCTCTGACCTCCACATGTGTATCATCCAGGTCTTGGTCTGACAACAGAGGCGATAAAACAAGAGTGCCAAGATTATTCCTAAGAGCAGGGCGGTGGTGGCCCACACCCTTAACTCCAGGACTCAGGAGACAGAGGCAGGTGGGCCTCTGTGAGTCCAAGACCACCATGGGCTTCACAAGAGTGAATCAGTGCACATCATTTTTGTTTGTTTGTTTTTGAGACAGGGCTTCTCTGTAGCTTCGGAGCCTATCCTGGAACTCTCTCTGTAGACCAGCCACTGCCAACAGCGCACACCTTTAGTCCCAGCATTAGATATATAAGGAAGAAGCAAAGCGTCTCATGCAAGATTCAGTTCCCGGTCACAGGGAAGACAGGATCTCCATTTTCAGCCTTGGTAGATTTAAGAGCTACTGGCTGGCTGTGTTGCTTTTCTGAGCTTCAGCTTGAACCCCATTATCTGTCTCTGAGTTTTTATTATTTGTGCTACAAGATTAGAATCAAGTAATGAGTAACAATGATAAAATAAAATGCAGCTGGATATAAGGCGAAGAGAAAAAGAATCCAAAGAAAAAGTTAATGTCAGGGAGAGAGACAACAAACCAGGGAACAACAAGGTATTCAGTGACCTGGCTCCTGACTAATACAGCCAGAGACCATGCTGCTTGCTGTAAAATCTCTACAGTACACCCCAACTATAAAGCCTCACACCTATGGGTAACTTCTAAGTGGTGTGATGTCTCCATCTTTTGTTTATGAGCTTCAGCTACTGACTTACTCACCTTTAAACCCCTGAAGGGGGGTCATCAGGCCTGTAATTTGGGAGCGTCTCTGCCAGGGCGAGGCACAGGATGTCTAGAAGGTATGAACCTTACCACCCCCCCACCCCCCACCCCGCCCATGCAAGTTGTCCAGATTTAGGTCTGGTTAACAAGGCGGGAAACGCATTTAAGAAGATGCTCGGTAGGATCAACTTTACCGGTTCTTGAACTACAATTCCCACAATCCACAGGGGGCCAGAGCCTGCAAGAAAAACCTGGCTCCTGCTGGATGCCGCCTGGGAAATGTAGTGTCAACCTAACCCTGAGTCCCTCCCTTATTTCCATTCAAGAGTTATCAAGCTCCAAAAGAACCTCTTTCAAGACGGCCGAGTGACCCATCTATCTTAGTGCACTTGATCAAGGCTAGAGTTAGGGAGGTAAGATAGACAGATGCAAATAAGAACGGCTACTTTTCTTTACCTTCGCATTTGCTGGGCAAACGTTCGGTGTCATCTTCCTCCTTTTTCGTCGTCCCAGCCCAAGCACTGTACACTGCCAGGATGAAAAGCAGTATTTCCAACCGCACAGGTCCCATGCCAAAACGCAGTCCAAGCGTGAAACCTTCGTTTCCCTTCAGACTAACTTCTGGAAGGCAGCGGGCCCTTTAAATTTAGACGCAGCGGGCCACACGCTTTAAAAAAAAAAAAAAAAAAATCTATCGTGGAACGGTCAGCGCATGCTCAGAGCTAGCCCGAAAAAATGGGTGGAGCGTCTTGGCTCTGGGCTTCCCCGCCTCGGTTTTGTGGCGCCTCCCGTAGGTCCTGGCAGCTAGGTAGTGAAGACACAGATTGAAGTAATTAGGACATAATAATGTTATCTTTACACATATAAGTAGAATGTAATTTTTATATAATTTAGGACTGTGACACGAGATGACCTATCTTGATGTAGGGAAGAGCAGTGATAAGCCCTTGGCTTCTGCCAGGACCTACTCTTGTCAGGGGGCGGGGCCAAGATGGCGCCGAGCGCCGGGTGAGCGGCGCTTTGGCAGCGGTGAGAGGCTTTTACTGCTCCCAGTGCTTGGCTGTCGGGGGAAGGTCTGAGGTGTATCCGTGAAGAGACCCCTTTGAAAGGGCCATGTGAGAACTGGGAGGAGGACGGTTGGTTGTGTGTCCGTGCTCGTGGGGACTCTGTGCGTGTTTGCACTGGAAGGAGGTTGGGGAGATGTAGTGGATTGTGAGCCTCCTGTAGCGCTGCCCGGGGAAATCTTCGAATCAGTTCTCTTCTGAGGAAAACGGTGCACAGATCTAGCCCAAGCTGTCCGTCCTCTGAGAAGTCTTACTGTCGCTTCCACTGATCTGAGACACTCCTGAGGCTGTTAACAGTGTTTTATGAACCCTTAGTGACAGAGGGTACCGCAGTGGGACTGGGACACGACTACTTGTTGTATACCTGACACCAGGTACAGAGTATGTGCTGAGTAATTGTATTCCCTGTAGACGAAATTTAACAAAAGTCTGAGAAGACCTGGGGTGGCTTGGAAAGAACCAGTGCACTTTGGCCTCTCTTCCCCTGTCTCCCTAGCACTCAGTTCTGAACTGAACACTCTTGGGGTTGATGTTCCTTATATCCAGTGTCAGGCAAGCTCCTTTCCTTTTGACCGCAGAGTAAACTCTAAGCTTGAGTCTGTGTCTTTTTCATTTTGGTAATTGCTATTTATAGAACACTTTCACCCTTAAGACTTAAAATTCATTTGTTTTAACAATGTCCTAGGTACCAATCTAGGCACCAAATAGGTCAGTGAACATAACAGACATATCCCTGGCCACCGGTGAGGTCAGGATGATAAACAAGAAGAAATGATAGCTAGACTTGGTGCTGCTGCACAGCTGGAAAGGCAGAAGGATCTCAATTTCTAGGCCACAGAGTGAGTTCCAGACTAGCCTCAGCAAAACTGAGACCCAGTTGTGGAGTAGTTTAATATGTAGAAGGCCCTAGACTTAATCTGGAGTGAGGTCGTGTGGGTGTGTGTGTGAAGAAAATATGGCAAAGAAGTACAGGCACTTGGGAGTGGAGGCCAAAGGACTAGGAGTTAAGATCAATGTTGTCTACATAGTGAATTTGAGGCCATCCTGGGCTACATGAGACCCTGTCCCTAAAGAATGGGGGGTGGAGTCGTGTAGCCAAACTCACTTGGGAAGACAACAGTAAAAACTATAAAACCAAGTGTCTGTCCATTTTAAAGGACAGCAAGGAGAATGATGTGACAGAATAAAGTGGGAGAGAGAAGGATCGGTGATCAGAGATATGATGAAAGAAAACTGAAAAGGAAAGGAAAACAAACAAACATTTAGACAGGAATGTGCTGCATAGCCCAGGCTGTCTTCAAACTTGCTTCAGCCTCCAGAGCGCTGGGATTCAAAGTGTGCACTATGTAGACTCTCACTCTGAAGCATATCCTGGTGTGAAACTCAAGACAGTCCATTGAAATTAGAAGTGTTAACCCCAACACCTGGACAGGAGACATTTTGAAGGGAGGACTTTGGAAGGGTTTTATGGCAAAGGGGAACCATTACAGCAAAGAAATGGTAATCTAGTGTATATTTGGACAGCAGCACTCTGGTTTTCAGGAGTAAATGCAGGGAAGAGCAGATGGAGAACACCTTGTCCAATGGCTCTTAGTTCAGCAGGTAACGGGTGATGGTCACCTAGGCCAAAAAGGGTCTGGTTAGGCTGCCTAGTGCGTTTTGAAATAGTGCTGGGAATCAAACCCAGGCCCTTGTGCATGCCAAGTACTCTACCACTGAGCTGCATCTTCCAGCCCTTGCCTGATGGATTTGATTCAAGGGTCCAGCTAGGAATGAATTGTGCTGGGTGTGGTGACCCATGCCTATAGTCCCAGTACCTGGGAGGTATAGATAGCAGTATCAGGAATTCAATTTTGACCTCAGCTATTTATGGAGTAGGAAGCCAGCCTGGGCTACAAGAGGCCTTACTTAAAAAAAAAAAAAAAAAAAAAAAAATGTCAGGTAGTGATGCCACACTTCTCTACTCCCACCACCCAGGATGCAGAGGCAGTTGGATCTCTGAATTTGAGGTCAGCCCAGTTTACAGAGCAAGAGCAAGTTCCAGGTCAGTCAGGGCTACACAGAGAAACCCTGCCTCGGAGGAAAAAAACAAAAACAAAAAACCCCATCAACAACAAAAAGGAAAACAACAAAAAACTGGTGTGGAGATGTAGCTCAGTTGTTAAGAGTATTTGCCTAACAGACACAAAACCCTTAGTTCCATCTCTAGTACCACAAAAACTAGGTGTGGAGGTGCATATCTATAATCCCAGCCTTAGGAGAGTAAAGGCAGAAGGATCCAGAGTCAAGGCTGTCTTGTTACTGAGTTTGAGACTAGGCTAGGCTACAGAAATCCTGTTCACAAAAGTAAGATAAAACAAAACAAATTGTCACTAGTCACAGCAATGCGTGTGTATAATCTCAGTGCTTGAATTGCAGAAGCTGAAGCCAGGTGTGGTGCAGCCTTTAGTCCTAGCACTGGGGAGACAGAGGCAGGCAGATCTGTGACTTCAAAGCCAACCTGGTATACAAGACAAGTTCTAGGACAGCCAGGACTATTAACACAGGGAAACCTTGTCTCAATTAAATTAAATTACATTAAAAAAGAAGAAAGACAGAAGCAGGAAGCTGGAATTAGAAGTATCTGGGCTAAATAGAGATTCCCTGTGTCCAAAAAATTTCAAAATAAAGAATAAAAGACAAACCAAGTTGTTGGGTGATAGCATTGCTTTAAAGATAAGCTGAAGTTGAAGCCAAGCAGGGAGGGAGCTCAGGTTTAGGCTTTGAATTGTTTTCCTTTTTATTTTGTCCTACCCCACTTCCAGAGGCTCCATCTGTCCACCCTGGGGTGGCACCCTTCCAGGGACAGGAGTTGAAATTCCAGCATGGCCGAGGAGAAGAAGCTGAAACTCAGCAATACTGTGTTGCCCTCTGAGTCCATGAAGGTGGTAGCAGAATCCATGGGCATTTCTCAGATCCAGGAGGAGACTTGCCAGCTACTGACAGATGAGGTCAGCTACCGCATCAAGGAGATTGCCCAGGTAACCCTTCTGCCCAGCCTTGCTTTGTGTTAAAGATCCCGCTTATTGTATAACTGAGGATGACCTTGAACTTCTCATCCTCCTGCCTCCAACTCCCATTGCTGTGATTCCAGGTTGTACTACTATGCTGGTTATGTGATGCTGGGCATTGAACTTGGGTCCTTGTGCATGCTAGGCAAACGCTTTACCCACTGAGCTATATCCCTCGAGGTCTTAGATTAACATCTCTTCTTCTCCCAACCCCTAGGATGCTTTGAAGTTCATGCACATGGGGAAGCGACAGAAGCTCACTACCAGTGACATTGACTATGCATTGAAATTAAAGAATGTGGAGGTGATTTGGAGGGGCGTAAAGGGGACAGGAGGCTTCTGAGTCGGGGAGACGGTGCACATGTAGTGATACCTCCCTTGGCAATTTCTCATGCCTTTCTCTGTCTTTCTCGATATAGCCACTGTATGGCTTCCATGCTCAGGAGTTCATCCCTTTCCGTTTTGCCTCTGGTGGGGGCCGGGAGCTCTACTTCTATGAGGAGAAGGAAGTGGACCTGAGCGATATCATCAACACCCCTCTGCCTCGGGTGCCTCTGGATGTCTGCCTCAAAGGTGGAGGAAGGGTAGAGCTGGGTGCGCAGGGAGGAGGGGAAGGAGGCATGTGATTGGTAGGAGCTGCACACGTGAAGAAACAAATATCCAGTGTGAGATCCCTGGTGAATGGCAAGAAGGGGACCGGGAAGGAACACACACCTTCCTTCATATGGGGTGACTTCCCAGTGTCCATGCCCAGGAACTCAGTTTGACATCTTCCTTACAGCACATTGGCTGAGCATTGAAGGCTGCCAGCCAGCTATTCCAGAGAATCCACCTCCAGGTAACATTTTCCGTGCTAAAGCCAAGTCTCCTTTTTCTCCTGCCTCATCCTTGGTCCTGTGGGGTTTCTCCTGCCGTTTCATCACTCCTCCTGTGACCACTTTCTCACCAGCTCCCAAAGAGCAGCAGAAAGCTGAGGCCACGGAACCCCTCAAGTCAGCAAAGCCAGGCCAAGAAGAAGATGGACCCTTGAAAGGCAAAGGTCAAGGGGCAGCTGCAGCTGATGGCAAAGGTCAGGATCCAGGCCAGGCCTCTTCCTACTCTTATTCCAAAGCCAGATGATCCTCAGTGAAGTGGGTGTAGAAGCCTAGAGAAGGGCTATGTGTTGTGAGGGTTCTGGAACTTGGTATGTGTGTGCACACATGTGTATGTGTGTTACTATGTCAGGTTCAGGTAGGGGTGTTTGTGTGTGTGTGAGAGAGAGAGAGAGAGAGACCAAAGGATCATTTTAGCTATCAGCCATCTTGTGATGTCTACTTGGGTTTTTTGTTTGTCTTTTTATTGTTCTTGGTTTTTTGTTTGTTTGTTTTTGTTTTTCAGTATGGGTTCTGGGCATTGAATTCAGGTCCTTATGCTTATAAGGCAAGCACTTTGCTGACTGTGCCATCTTCCTAGCCTGAACTTGCTTTTTCAAGTCTCCCCAATTCACACAGGAAAAGAGAAGAAAGCACCTCCCTTGCTGGAGGGAGCCCCTTTCCGCCTGAAGCCCCGAAGCATCCATGAGCTATCTGTGGAACAGCAGCTGTATTATAAGGAGATCACAGAAGCCTGTGTGGGATCCTGTGAGGCCAAGCGAGCGGTAAGCCTGCCCTCTGGGCTGCCTTCACACACAGAGAGAATCCTGGAACAGTGGCACTTTTCCTACAGAAAATGGTCTCACCTGACTCATTGCCCCCTCCTATAGGAAGCTCTGCAAAGCATTGCCACGGACCCGGGACTCTATCAGATGCTACCACGGTTCAGTACCTTCATCTCTGAGGGGGTGAGAGAACTGCGAAAGGCCAGATCGAGGATGAGGCTCCAAGGAAGGGGGTGGCAAGTGGAGTCCATCTGAGGGTTTCCCTCTGTGCCCCCTCCCCACCAACAGTTTTCCCTCCCTCAGGTCCGTGTGAATGTAGTTCAGAATAACCTGGCCTTGCTCATCTACTTGATGCGCATGGTGAAGGCCCTGATGGACAACCCCACGCTGTATCTAGAAAAATATGTGAGTGGTCTCGCCTACCTCCTACCTTTTCCAAGGTCAAGGCCCCTTCTGGCAACTGCACCACAGGAGATCAGGTATCGTAAGTGGCTGACAGTGCCTGGTCTCCCTCAGGTGCATGAGCTGATTCCAGCAGTAATGACCTGCATTGTGAGCCGACAGCTTTGCCTGCGGCCCGATGTGGACAATCACTGGGCACTCCGGGATTTTGCTGCCCGTCTAGTGGCCCAGATCTGTAAGCATTTCAGCACAACCACCAACAACATCCAGTCCCGGATCACCAAGACCTTTACCAAGGTGAGCACCAAAAATGTATCAGGTGAATCAGATGATGCAAATCATCCCTCTAGGGTTAGCCCCCAGGAAAGAAAGAGCTTCACCCATCTGGCAGTGCAAAGATACCCAGAACATGGGACAGAGACTGGAGCCAGGGAAATTGGGTTCAAGGGACTTGCATCTCTATGTCTTAATGCTTTGTGTTTATAGGTGATGTCAGTCCTTAGCAATTAGCCTTTTCGTTTTTGAAACAGGCTGTCATGTACCCCATACAGGCCTTAAACTCTCTGTAACTGAGGATGGCTTTGAACTTTTTGTGTTTTGCTTTTTTGAGACAGGGTTTCTCTGTCCTGGCTGTCCTGGAACTTGCTCCGTAGACCAGGCTGGCCTTAAACTCAACAGAGATCTTCCTGCCTCTGCCTCCTGAGTGCTGGGATTAAAGGCATGCACAACTGCCTGGCAGCTTTGAACTTCTAATCTTCCTCTCTCCCTCCTGTGTACCAGGATTGCAGACATGTACTACCGGCAGGTCTGGTTTAGCAGTTAGCCTTTCAAACCCTTTTCATCTGGGTTTTCCTTCTTTCTCTACAGAGCTGGGTAGATGAGAAGACTCCATGGACAACTCGATATGGCTCCATTGCAGGCCTGGCAGAGCTGGGACATGATGTTAGTGCCCAGGGCAACGAGCCGGGAGAGGGGCAGTTACATGTGGGGTGGGAGAGACCTCTGGGGACCTTCTGAACTGGCTTCGCCCCTTCCTTCCCACTAGGTGATTAAGACGCTGATTCTGCCAAGGCTGCAGCAGGAAGGGGAACGGATCCGCAGTGTCCTGGACGGACCAGTGCTGAGCAATATTGACCGTATAGGAGCAGACCATGTGCAGAGCCTTCTCCTGGTGACGAACCCCCACCGCACCCTCTCCTTCCCATCAGCCCCACCACTTCCAGCTCCCACAAACACGGCTACAGTGTTTAGCAAGCACGAGGCACATCTTAATTCTTTTACTTTTCAGAGGTCAGCACTGTTGTGTACATGGAGTTAGGCACGGACAGAAACGAGAAGCCTAGTAGCCACTAACTTCTGGACTGCACTGTTCTCATGAGCTTCTGTCTCCCTACACAAGGCGCATGAGCACCCCATGCATCTCATCACCACATACAGCAAATCCTGTCCATTCCAGCCCATCCAAATAGAAGGAAACAGTCTTTTGTTTTTTATTTGTTGACTTACAGATGGGGTCTTGCCTTGGCTAGTCTGGCACTTGTGAGGTAGACCATGCTGGCCCCATGGCAATCCTGCTACCTCTGCTTTCTTGAGCACTGAGATTACAGCAGTGTACCACCACACCCACTGAAACCATCCCCTTTTATTCTTAGATTTTTTTTGTATGTTTGTTTGAATGTATGCCATGTATACAGGTGCCCACAAAAGCCAGAGGAGGATGACAAATCTCCTGGAACTGGAGTTCTAGGTGTTTGTGAGCAACCAACCTCTGGAAGAGCAAGTGCTCATCTAAATTTCTGAGCCACCTCTCTAGTCCCCCATTCCCTTTTGTGTGTGCTGCTGGGAATTGAACCTAGAGCCACACAGATGTTTTCAAAGCACTGTACCAATGATCTATATTCCCCTTGGCGCTCTTTCTTTTGAGACATTCTATCTACCCGGGCTAGCCTGAAGTTCTCTGTACTCTGGCTCGCATAAACTCAACTCAACAATCCTCCTGCTTTATTGAGCATGAGTTCTGGGACCCTCACACCCAGCTCAGATGTGTTCCCTATGGAAGAGTGTAGCTTTTCACTGTGCCCTGGCTCTAACAGGAGCGGTGGGGAGCTCCTCTCTCACGTTTGCTACAGAGTACCAGCCCTCACTTTGCCTTCTCTGCAGAAACACTGTGCCCCAGTACTGGCGAAGCTGCGCCCTCCACCCGACAATCAGGATGCCTACCGGGTTGAATTTGGATCCCTTGGGCCCCTTCTCTGTTCCCATGTGGTGAAGGCCAGGGCCCAGGCTGCTCTACAAGCTCAGCAGGTCAACAGGACCACACTCACCATCACACAGGTCAGATGCTAAGGGAGGAGGCTGACAGGAAATATGCTAGGTTTGGGACAGGACTGGCGACAGCCAGCAATCTCAGGGAGCCTGACCCCACCCCCACCCCCAATGAAGAAGCAAGAGCAAGCACAGCCCAGGTCTGCCTTCAGGGTTCACATTTTCTGTCTTTCTTCATAGCCTCGGCCCACACTGACCCTCTCACAGGCTCCTCAGCCAGGCCCTCGTACCCCTGGCTTATTGAAGGTCCCTGGTTCCATTGCCTTGCCTGTCCAGACACTGGTGTCTGCTAGAGCTGCTGCCCCTCCTCAGCCTTCTCCTCCTCCAACTAAGTTTATCGTAATGTCCTCATCTTCCAGTGCCTCATCGACCCAGCAGGTATGTGGGGCCAGGGTAAGGGATGTGAGGAGCTCCTGGGGAAGCCTTAATCCCTCCAGGTCCAAACCCAGAAGGTATAAGGGCCACTTGTCAGGAGCTTAGCGGCCTCAAGCTAGCAGCAGTCTCCTGGATCCTGACTATTCATTGCAGACTGCAAGGGATGGTGGGAACAGGGGCAAAGACAGCATGAGCCCGGGCCTCCCAGGTGTAAGGTACACCGGTCATGCTGCCTTCCTTTCTCCCTAGGTCCTATCCCTCAGCACCTCAGCTCCTGGCTCAGGCTCTACCACTACCTCTCCTGTCACCACCACAGTTCCCAGCGTGCAGCCCATCGTCAAGCTGGTCTCCACTGCCACCACCGCACCCCCAAGCACAGCCCCTGCTGGTCCTGGCAGTGTTCAGAAGTACATCGTGGTCTCCCTTCCCCCCACAGGGGAAGGCAAAGGAGGCCCCCCTTCTCATCCTTCTCCAGTCCCTCCTCCGTCTTCTTCACCATCCCCACTTGGGGGCAGTGCCCTCTGTGGGGGGAAGCAGGAAGCGGGGGACAGCCCTCCTCCAGCTCCAGGGACTCCAAAGGCTAATGGCTCCCAGCCTGCTGGACCTGGCTCCCCTCAACCTGCTCTGTGATGATGTCACATCTGCCGACCTCCACTTCTGCAGAATCCTGCACGCACAAAGAACGCGTGAGGGAGGAGACTGTTTCCCCCAGTGACTTTCTTTTTAGATACTGTACAGTAAGTTCCTCAGAATAAAAGTTGGATTTGTAAGTTTGTGAGCCTCCCTGCAGCACATACAACAGAAAGGGTGAGTCCATGGAACCTTCCTGGTCTTGAGACTCTTCCTGTTCAGATCCAAAGACACAAGAAAGAAAATGTCCTCTTCCTGTTCAACCGCCTGCTGCTGACTTGGCTGTCTGTAATCTTGTTTGGGAAGCTTCAAATCCGAATTACATAGGCGTTGCTGTGGCTCAGATGTCGTACCCACTTGTGAGGGTTGGCACTACCACAGGTACTAAAGGACAGCCTAAGGAATCGAACCTGGAGGCCAGAGCATGTGTGCCGAGGGAGTTCAAAGGAGAGGCTGGCAGGACCCAGGCCCAAGGGGGGCGCCGAGGGGGAGGGTCCATGGCTGGGAGGCCCCTGTGAGCCAGGGACATCCATCTGTAAGTGAAACAGAAGATGTGAGGGTAGACAGCTACCTGGTACCAGGACTGGACTGTTGCAGAAGGTGCATGAGGACTGAAAATAATTACCTGGAAAAGACCTGAAAGTTGAGAGCCTCCTTGTACCCGGGGCAGGTCCCAGTGGAGGGCCCCTTCTCCCAGCTCTGCCTTCTGATCTGGGCTGCTCAATTCCTGAGACAGGCTGGAGGGTGGACAGGAAAGATGCTCAACTAAGTGGCTACCTCCTTGGTAGAGCAGGGGCTCTACCAGGGAGTCTTCCCAGCAAGCATGCTGACCTGACTACCCCTCGAGGCAGGGGGAGGTGCAGATGAATGTTGAGAGCTTGGCTGCAAAGAAGAAAAGAAGAGTCAACCCCAGGGTGGCAGTGTCTTACCCTGTTTGCATTGTTCTTGAGACAGTGTCATGCAACTGAAGAAGACTTTGAACTTCGGATTCTCTTTCCTCTAGTGCTAGGATTATAGGTGTGCATACTACACTTTGTGCAGTGATGAGGATCAAACCCAGGGCTTTGTGCATGCTAAGCAAGCATTATACATGTCAATCTACATCCCCAGCCCCTGCTTAAGGTCCCAACAGGAGTTCAACACAGATACATTCCCTCATCTAACCCTCTCCCAAATGCCACAACCTCTGACTCAAGTGGAATTTAAACTTGGTAGATGCAAACACTGGTTTGTTTTGAGATGAGATCTCACTGTGAAGCCCAGACTGGCTTCAAACTTGTGATTCTCCTGCCTCAGCCTCCCAACAGCTGCGATTATTGGTATACATCACACAACAGAGCTTTAGTGGACCCATCTGCAGGAAGAATTAGCAGGCCTTTGGTCCTGTTTCCTGTCCTATATAGTTCAACTGGACTTGAGTAACCCCCACTCTTATGTTTTGTTTTCAAATTCCCTATATATTTGAGATTGGCCTTAAACTCCTTTCTGTTTCTACCTCCCAAGGGCTGGCACTATAAGTGTGTGCCACCATACCCAATTTGACCAGCCCCAATTCTTACCTCTTTGGGGGCAGGTCACACCGTAACTTCAGGTAAATCTGGAGCCTGGAAAAAGTGGCATTCAATTACTTGCACTGTATCCTACTGGCATTCCATCACTGCTCATCTGGGGCCTCATGGGAGGCTGCATAAGTTGTACCCTAACACGGAAAAGGGCTAAGATCCATCCTAAAATACTAGCTAATTTCCCACCTGCATCCTATCATCTCTACTGCCACCCTTCCAGATTAACCCGATCCCCTCCATATTAGGCCTTGGCTTAGAGGAGTTCTAAAACACAGAAATGTCTCACCGGCCTGAGCCTGGGTCCCACTGGACGGAGGGAAAGAGCCGGAAGGGGAGTGGTGAGGGGAGGTCATCAGAGAGCTGGTATCTCATCACAGTCAGCTGAGGCCAGAGAGGAACAGGTCAGCATGGTCTTGCACTGATACTGCCTCCCTCCCCTCGGATGAATGGAATACACCAGGCTACCCTGAACCTGACCTCGCCCTGAGGTGGCTGCAGGCGGAGGATCCGATGAGACTCAAATTCATCAAGATTGACAGAACTATGGAATGACACCTCATCAACTCGAATTCCTGGCCCATAACCTGAAAAGAGAAGAAGATGGCTCTCCCAACCTGTGTTTGGAAGGGAAGAGACATTTCCAGTGTTTCTCCATGACATTTTCGGAGAGAAAAAACTCATGCTCCCCTTACCTCTCAGTTCTGACTTCCCCACACAAAATTCTTCTGTCAAGCCAATGTACATCTCTGTGGGAGGAAAGGACATGAAGGGCATCAAATACCACCACACATCACCAGGAAGCCCGTACCACACTTAACCAGGGTCCTCACCAGAACCACTAGGAAGGAAGCTCTTGAGCCGTATCTCTCCTTGGACATCCACCTTCAACAATGAGCCCTGGGCGAGGGAAGGAAGTTAAGGCTCCTCTTTCTCCAAGTCCCATTTCCCTTCAACTCCAGGGGTAGGAACCCAGACTTACATTAGCTGCAATCAGTACAGACAGCCTCTCGACCACATCTAAAAACACTTCATTCTTTTGGCTCTAAGAAAGAGAGGGGGTTGAGTTGTGGTGGCTGAAAATCTGTTCTAAAATATACAAACAATGCCGGGCATGGTGACACATGCCTGTAATCCCAGCGCTTAAGAAGCTGAGGTAGGAGGATTGCTATGAGTTCAAGGCCAGCCTGGATTATTTTGCAAGAGCCTGGGTTACAGATGAGATCCTGTCTTAAAAGAAAAAAACAAACCAAAAATGAAAGAACAGGGACTCCAGAGATGGCTCGGTCAGTAAAGTACTTGCCAGGCGAATGTGACAATCTGAGTGTGATCCCCAAAATCCATGTGAAAGTCAAGTGTGGGGATAGGAGCCTGTAATACCTATACTAGGGAGTAGTCAGTGAGCTCCAGGCTAATGAGAGGCCCCGTGTCAAAGGAGGTGAACGGCATTCCTGAGGGTGACATCAAAAGCCTAGTCCTTTGGCCTCCACACAAATGCAGGCACCTCACGTACACACATAAAATAAGAAGCATAAGGAGGGTAGCTGAAGTGAGCCCTGGCATAGGAACCCAGGGATAATGGAAGGAATACAATGTCAAAAGGAGTAGAAACCTAATTTCTTGGACTCTGGGGTGTTAGGACAAAACACGCGCACGCGCGTGTGCACACACACACACACACACACACACACACACACACACACACACACACACACAAGTCTGGCCTCACTGATGTGTCCCTTACCTGGTCAGAGCGACTGGACAAGACTGGGCGACTGGCAGCACTGCTTGGGGCCACTCTGTTCTGCTGCGTCTCTGCCCCAAACTGTAAAGCACCCAAGGCAACCAATCCTCAGCTTTGAGGCTCACAGACAACCCTGTTGGCCCCTCCTCTTTTCCCTGCTACTGACCAATCCAACGCTGCTGAGGTCAAAGAGGCTGAAGGGCTTGCTGACCACAGCTTCGGTTTGGATGAAGTTCCTCAGCATTTCCGTGGATGTAGTCTGCACATAGCCATAATCCTAATGGACAGAAGGAGTGAAATGGAGTGGATTTTGCCTCCTACCACAAAACTCTACGATAGAAGGGAGGACATTCCTTCAGGGAAGCAGGGGACAAGAGAGGGAAGTCCTTGGGGCTGTGGAGATGGGCCAGTGTATAAAGGGCTTGCTGAGCAAGTGTGAGGACCTGAGCTCAATCCCCCACACTCAAGTGAAGAAAAGCCGGGTGTGACCATGGAGATCAGAGAGGGAGACAGAAGAGTCCGGGGAGCTCGCAGGCTACCTAGTTTAGTGTACACGCACTGAGAACAAAGAGACCTTGCCCCTTTTTCTTTTTGTCTTTTCCTTTCTTCTTCTCCCTCCCACCCACCCAGTTTTTCAAGACAGGATTTGTCCATGTAGTCCCGTGTAGTGAGTTCTGGAACTCACTCTGTCAAACAGACAGGCCCTAAACTAAGAGATTCACCTGCCTCTGCCTCCTGAGGGCACGCCACATTAGACTTCTTTTTCCAGTGTTTTGAAACAAGGTCTCACTATGTAACCCTGGGTGCCTCAAGCTCATTATGTAGACCAGGCTTGCCTCAAAACTAAAGTGATCCATCTGCTTCTGGGTGCTGGTACGTTAAAGGTATGCACCACCATAACCAGCAAAGGACTTTCTCTTGAACATGGTAGAAAGTAAGGACCAATACTCCGACAGAAAAGACAAAGAGCGGGATCCTGTGAGATAGCTCAGCTGGCAAAGGTGCTTGCTACCAACCAGCCAACCCGAGTTCAATGCCAGGGACTCACAGTAGGAGAAAACTGTCTCCAACAAGTTTTCCTCTGTGGTGTGGGCAACCATATACATACACACACAACATGAGTAAATACATTTTAAAAAGGAGGAAAATCTTTGGGTTTTACCAGTACTTCATCCAGCAGTTCGTAGACAAGAGCCACATTCCGTGAGATGGTCCCCTCGTTGAGTGAGCCACAGTAGTCACCCAAGAGAGTGGCTAACCTAAGGAAACACAGTTGAGTGAGTGTGAATAAACCTCTCAGGCCCTGCTTCTTGGGTGCCCTCACAGGCCCACTCACCGGGAAAGCAGCTCCAGGAGGCTGAAAGGAGAGACGTTTTCGGAGGTTGTGGCCACCAAATAGAGACCACTGTGTCTGATGTGAATGAAATGACGGTCATCGTGATACTGAGGCAGAGTTGTGGAAAGTGGCATTAAAAGACCAGAATTGCAGTAACGCGGCCCATGAGATGGCACCCTAAGGTTGCTACTAGTGATAGCAGAAACTGTGACTTTGGGCGATCCCCAAGACCTCTCAACTATGTGGCCTCCTAACATGTAACTTACCTCACAGAGTTGTTGACAGTCAAGAGATAGGGGTGCAAGACTCTTTCTGCCATCTTGTTAGCTCTCAATACACTTGGAGAAACGTATGCCCTCCCCTCCCTGAAAGCTTGCTACCAAACAACCCTTAAAAGGGAGAAATGAGACATCCACCAAGCCCCTGCTCGCCAGCCACATGTGGTTACCATGACAACCGGGGACTCGCCTCCAGGCAGTCCCGTCAGCTTCCGGTAAAAGAGCTCGGCCACATCACGACCACCACTGTCCCCGCGAACTGGAAGGGTAGTTAAGGAACAGGCAACACAGAATGACTCTGGGGCTCGATTTCTACCAGCTACTCCACCCCGTCTCGCGGCTCCAGGATACAGTCTTTGTAAATGAGCGGGTCCCCCTTGGAGGACAGGATGAAGAACTGGGAAATCATGGCCGTTCTGGAGGACAGACAAGAAGACGGTGAAAGTTGAACCCACCCCGCCCTGCGGTCGCGGAACAAAAGGACGCACGGAGGCTGGCCCTTTAAGAAACACTCCTCCCACACCCACGCCGGCGAGCAGTAATTTTGAACCGCGGGAAACCGGGTGCCCAACCCGCCAGGGCCTAGCAATCTCCCTCTGGCCCTTCCCCTCGTTCCCTGTCACTCAACTCAGACTCGTCCAGTGATTGGTTAAAATTGGTGCCTATTCTGATTGGCCCGTACTCAGCGGCACAGGTCACATGGGAGGCGACGTTTCGCGCCAATTTCGGTTGGTCCGCTACATCGCCCCGCGCGCTTCTTCTGTGCTTCCTCAGAGTGAGACTTCTCCGTTCGCCAGTTCCCTGTCGCACGGTCCCCGGCAGCGATGGCGCTTAAGGACTACGCGATCGAGAAAGGTGATATGCTATAGGGCTGGGAGCGGCGTTCTTCCAGGGAAAGTTCTTTACCTGCACCTGTTGAGGGGAGCTGGAATCTTGAGGGGACCCGGGGTCTGTGACTCTGGGGACAGACAGGCGGACTGCGCCCGGGACAAGTGTAGCCGGGCATGAGGATGGAAGCAATCCTGCCTGGAAAGGTGCTTTGGCTTTGTGATGGGGAGGACCCAGCGGAGGCCACATAGAGGAGGGGCGCTCCAGAGAGATGCTGGGTGACGTGGAACCTTCAGTACATGGCCCGAGGGCCCGGGAAAACCAGGCCTTCCTCTGCGCTTTGGGGCGCTGGAGAATTCCCGCGTCCACTCGAGACGCGCCAGAGTTCGGAGGCGGGGCTTGCCTGGCCGCTACGCGCCGAGATTGGTTGTTTTAGGCCGCCCTCCAAGCGGAAGTAGAGGCGGGCGGAAGTGGCGCTACCCCTTCGGAGGGAGTGTCGTGTGTAAACAGTGTCCTTCCGCGCGGTGGCCTCCGAGATAGCTGCCGTGGGTAGGGGCGTGCCTGGAACTGAGATGCTGAGCGCCCGGCGGCGGGAGGTGGCAGTGAAGTGGACCCGAGTGGCCCTTTGGCGTGCCGGCCAATCGCCGCACGGCCACCCGCCTGGGGCGGAGGAATCCTGAGCTGTGAGGCGGCTGGAATCCGGGCCCATGTGCTTCTTTGTTTACTAAGAGCGGAAGCAGTGGCGGGAGCGGGGTGTGGGGTGCAGAGAAGGCCTAGTGGCGGACGTCTAGGCGGGAGCAGAAGAAAAAGAGTTACATTACACTGGTGGAAGTGGGGACGAGAGGCTTGAGTCGATTGTGTGCGAGCTGAATGAACTGAAGAAACTGAGATTCCTAACTAAGGCAGTGAGTGAAATTCTCTTGGGAAACTTGGGGTAAGACTCTTTAACTGTCCGGGGACCTATAGTCTTCCCCAGATAAAATCAGACTTGTGAAAAGGAGTACTGCCTGCTTGGGGGAGAACGAGGTAGGCTTGTTTTGAATGTTCATTTAACTAATTAGTTTTTAGGTCCCTTTATTAAATGAAAGTGGGTTTCTTAAAGAATCGGAAGGGAAGATTGTGTCTGAAATATTTGGTACATTATTGTGTGTGTTGCACGTGGGTGTTAAGACACAGGCGGGAGTGTGTTCTCTTCCAGCAGCCTGTGGGTGGGTCCCAGGGATTGAACCCTGATGGTCAGTCTTGGCAGCAATGATTTTTACAGCTCACTGTTCACTAAGATTTGTGTTTGATTTTATGTTTATTTGTAGAAAAAGTTAGGAAGTTCCTACAAGAGTTTTATTATGATGATGAACTTGGAAAGAAGCAGTTCAAGTATGGAACCCAGTTGGTAAGTCCCAGGATTGGTTATGCGGAGTTGGGCTGGCATGTAAGAACTTATACAAGGTGGCCTACCTTGTTACAGCAAGTATGGATATGGGTGAATTGGTTTTGATTGTTTTGTAGAAAGTTTATTTCTTTTAAGCTTTGGGGTTTGTTTGTTTTTTTTTTTAACTGAATTGTGTTTATTTGTTTATGTGTGGGCTCACATGGATATGGAAGTCAAAGGGACAATTTGTGGAAGTCCATCTTCTCACTGTGTGGGTTCTGGGGATCGGACTCACTTCTTCAGTCTAGGTGGCAAGTGCCTAACCTGTTGAGCCATCTCTCCCACTCCTGGCTCTTGGTTTTAAGAGATAGTATTTGTGTGGCACGGGCTGGCTTCAAGAACACCTTACGTGGTTAAATAACTGAGGTTGGCTTTGAACTCCTAATCATCCAGATTTGTATGTCCCAAGTGCTGGCATTACAAAGCACACCCCCATGCTAGACTGTAGAGGCTAGTTTAGCAGAGTACTTGCCTGTTTGTGGGCATAACACCACATTCATAAAAACTGTGTTTACAGGAGTTAAGAGAAGTTCTTTTCAGAGCTGGAAAGTCTCTACTGTGTTCTTTCCTCTCTAGGGGTTGGCTGGTGGCTTTTTGTGAGTGCAGTAAACTTGATCCTAACGTATTACTGTCTTTTCCTTGCCTCAGGTTCATCTGGCTCATCGGGAACAAGTGGCATTGTATGTGGACCTAGATGATGTAGCTGAAGATGACCCTGAGTTGGTCGACTCAATTTGTGAGAATGCCAAACGCTACTCAAAGCTGTTTGCTGATGTTGTACAAGAGCTTCTGCCTGAGTACAAGGAAAAGGAGGTAGGTTACTAGTTTTTGAGTTCTTCTGCCTGATACCCCATATACTCAAAATTTTATGTCCTGCCCCTCGCTTTTCCTTTCTTGTTTAGGTGGTAAATAAAGATGTCCTGGATGTTTACATTGAGCACCGACTGATGATGGAGCAGCGGAGCAGAGACCCTGGGGCAGTCCGGAACCCTCAGAACCAATATCCTTCTGAGCTGATGCGTAGATTGTAAGTGTCTTTGTGGGGAAGGTCAGGGACTTATTCTCCAGGACTTTGCTGACAAACCGTTTCTTTCTTTAGTGAGCTGTATTTCCAAGGCCCAAGTAGCAGCAAGCCTCGAGTGATCCGGGAAGTGCGGGCTGATTCTGTGGGGAAATTAGTAACTGTGCGTGGGATTGTCACTCGGGTCTCTGAAGTCAAACCTCGGATGGTGGTGGCCACATATACTTGTGATCAGTGTGGGGCAGAGACTTACCAGCCGGTATGTGCACAGTAGGAGAGAGGGAAGTACTTGTTTGGGTTCGTTGTTTTTGAAATAAATAATTGTCCCACTGATTATAATCTGTCAGTATCTCTCTGGCTATTGAAGAAAATGCTGTGGTATTCATTTTTAGTTGTCTGATAGTGAGCTGATCTTTCTGGTCATTTTGTTTTATTGATGTTTCTGCTTGACTCAGAATATTTCAAGGGGTCTTACACTTTAGAATGTCTCATCACAGCGCAGATGATTGTAAGGATCTTTTGATTTCCTGTTTCCTTTCTCTTGTCTAGATCCAGTCTCCCACCTTCATGCCTCTGATAATGTGTCCGAGCCAGGAGTGCCAAACCAACCGCTCAGGGGGGCGACTTTACCTGCAGACTCGTGGTTCCAAATTTGTTAAATTCCAGGAAATGAAAATTCAAGAACATGTGAGTTAGGGAAATGTGAATTTTACAGTTGGTTATGAAATGGCAGGAAGAAAGATGAGTGAAGAGCTAGGGAAGAGAAGTCATTTATAGTGCAAAGAAGGTTAAACTAGAATTTTTCATGCTTGCTTTTAGGCAGAAAGTCAGGAAGTGATTTAATTGAAATTTTTCTGGTTGAGTTGGGATGAGGGTAAGAGGTAAGACCTCAGCTTCCTGATTGTCTTGTAAGTCGGGCTGGCTGAATCTCAACCATGAAATGGGCTTCGGGGGCGAATTCGGGTCCTGTCCTTGTCTCATTTGCTTGTGTTCTGTCCCCAAACCACCTAGAGTGATCAGGTTCCTGTTGGAAACATCCCTCGTAGCATCACAGTGGTTTTACAAGGGGAGAATACGAGGACTGCCCTGCCTGGTGACCATGTCAGTGTCACTGGCATCTTCTTGCCAGTCCTGCGTACGGGGTTCCAGCAGATGGCACAGGTGAGGGAGTTTTCGGATGAGGAAATAGTTCCCTTGCCACCTTGCCTACCTGCTTGCTCTTAGAGTCACACCCTTCAAAGAGTAAAACCACTCTTCAGATGGAACTTGTGGTTGTGAAGACGTTTTTAGTTTCTAGTGATGGACAATTTAAAGGGAAGCCATTAATTAGTGTTGCCATTCTTCTGCCCAGGGTTTACTCTCAGAAACTTTCCTGGAAGCCCACCGGATTGTGAAGATGACAAAGAGTGAGGATGATGTAGCTGGGGCCGGAGAGCTGAGCAGGGAGGAACTAAAGCAGATTGCAGGTGAGGGGCCACAAGGGCAAGTTGGTAGTTTGAGTGTTAGCCTAGCTTTTGTCCTGAAGAAAGAAAATGGCTGTGGCTTAACTTTTTGCAGAGGAGGACTTCTATGAAAAGCTGGCGGCTTCTATTGCTCCGGAGATCTATGGGCATGAAGATGTGAAAAAAGCACTCTTGCTGCTACTAGTGGGTGGTGTGGACCAGTCTCCTCAAGGCATGAAGATCAGAGGTAAGAAGGGCAAGAGATAGAGGGTGGAGTGTTTGGAGGATGAAAAGGGATGATGAGTTGGCGTCGTGGTCCTAGAAGAAATAGTGTGGGGTTTGGGAGGGGAATTGGGTCTAGTGCTCTTCCCCTGTTGGTAGACAACTTGGGTTGAGCATGTCACTTAGGCTTCCTTCCTATTTTCCAGGAAACATTCACATTTGCCTTATGGGAGACCCAGGTGTGGCCAAATCTCAGCTCCTATCTTATATTGATCGTCTGGCCCCCCGAAGTGAGTATGAGCAGGGACAAAGCTTAGTGTTTGTTCGAAACACCAAAACCTCTGGAAAGCCTGGGGAAGCAGCTCCTTTCTTCAACAGAGCACTGTTTCTCTTTGCAGGTCAGTACACAACAGGCCGGGGCTCATCTGGAGTGGGGCTCACAGCAGCTGTGCTGAGAGATTCTGTGAGTGGGGAACTGACCTTAGAGGGTGGTGCCCTGGTGCTGGCTGACCAGGGTGTGTGCTGCATCGATGAGTTTGACAAAATGGCCGAAGCTGACCGCACAGCCATCCATGAGGTCATGGAGCAACAGACCATCTCCATTGCCAAAGCAGGAATTCTCACTACACTCAATGCCCGATGCTCTATCCTGGCTGCTGCCAACCCTGCTTATGGGCGATACAACCCCCGCCGCAGCTTAGAGCAGAATATACAGCTTCCTGCTGCTCTGCTTTCCCGATTCGACCTCCTCTGGCTGATTCAGGACCGGCCTGACCGAGACAATGACCTCCGGTGAATAAAGTACAATACCCACAGAGACAGCCCGTTTTAGTGCTTTGGGGGAGGAAGGTAAAATCAGAGAGCCACTCAATTTGTCTGTGCA